AAGGTTCCCTGCCTGCCTCTTCCAGCCTCTGAGCTGCACTCTAAGAAACAATGTTGTAATTATAGAAGCTAAACGAACCCCAGAAACCAGCTTTCAGCCAGCCAGGCCTCAGAGCTGGAGTTGCAACAGTGTTTCAATTATAGAAGCCAAACAAACCCAGATACCTGCTTTCAGCAGCCGAGGACAGGGTTCAAGGAGGAAGGGCTCCAGTTTCGTTTTCTCAGCACCTAGCTAGGAGGCCTCTCTGAGTGACTCTCCCCTCTGAGCCCTGTGCAGTATTGTCACTCTGCTCCAGCTGGGAGCCCCAAAGGGAGGCAGACCGAAGTCCTTTTCCTTCAGGACCCCACTCTCCCTGAGAGTCTGGCCAGGAGGGTGCTCTCCTTGGGAACCCAGAAATCCGCCTCCGTGGCGACTGTGCAGCAGCAGGGCCTGGCGAGCTGTGTGAGGGCGACCTACCCATGCAGATGTGTACACTGATGGAGACCACACAGCTGCCATAGTTGAAGTCACAGCTGCCATAGTTGAAGTCACAGCTGCCATAGCTGAAGTCGTCCTCGATGGAGGACCAGGGTAGTGGGGATCGGAGTCGGCCAGGTCAGCAATGAAATCCCAGCTCCCTGCCTAATGACTAGAGCACACGGACCTCAACTGTCCTCGGTCACTTCCTGAGCAGCAGTCAGCCCGGACCAGGGATCAAACCCAAAACCTAAGTAGGTGCCCTGATAGAATGGAACCCAAACCTTCATTGTGGCAGAGGAGCTCCGACCCACAGCAGGGGCCAGGGCATGTCAGAGGGGTTTTGTTGAGGGGCCCTGACAGGCAACACACAGGGCAGTGGGTTAGAATCTTCTCCTGATACATTAAGGCTGCGGGTTGGATCCCTGGTCAGGGCACAGACAAGAAGCAACCAAAGAGAGCACAATAAGTGGAGCAACACACTGATGTTTCTCTCGCTTCCTTCCTCTCTCTAAAATAATCAATAAAAATTAAAATAAAAAATAAACCCTCTGGCTAGCAGAGTTGCTAACATAGGTAGAAAGCGAAGTCCCATCCTTTCCTGTTCATTCAAGAAATACTTCATATGCTCCTTCAATAATCACACTGGGGATGGGCGTTTGTTTGTTTGTTTGTTTTGGTTAACTCACCTGCGGACATTTTTGCACTGATTTTTTTTTTTTTTTACAGAGAATGGAAAGGAGGGAGAAAGACAGAAACTAATGTGAGAGACATCAATTGGTTGCTTCTTGCTAAATCTCCGACCAGGGTCCTGGATTGAGCCTGCAACCCAGTCCGCCTGCAGAAGCACTATCCACTGAACCAAACCAGCATTTTTCTTTTCTTTTTAAGTCCTCCTCTAAGGATATGTTTTTTTTCACTGATTCTAGAGAGAGAGGAAAGGAGAGGGGAAGAGAAAGAGAAACATTGATCAGTTGCCCAAGCAATCTGACAGGGATGGAACCCACAACCTGTGAATGTGCCCTCACCTGGAAACTAACCCATGATCCTTTGGTGTCTGGGAGGACATTATAACTACTGATCCACACCAACCAGGGCCTGGAGGTCATTTAAAATTTTTTTTTCAGGTCTGCCCTGGCCAGGTGGCTCAATTGGTTGGAATCTCAACCTGTACACCAAAGGATTTCCTATTGGATTCTAGGTTAGATCCCAGTGGGTCAGCAGGTGCAGAGGCAGCCTGCTGGTATTTTTCTGTCACATGGATGTTC